CTAGGGATTTTAATATTTTGACCATGGTTTTCATTTTCATGTGTTTGGGTTGTATTTCATTTGGTGGTGTTGGGGATGGGTGAGTTTCATTTTGTTTGTGTCATGTGGTGATTGGTCGATGACTCCCAATCGGAGGTAACGAGTGTCAGCTGTCGGCTCGTTATCTCTGATTGGGAGCCATATATATTCTGTGTGTTTTCTCCTTTGGGTTGTGGGTTATTGTTTCTTTGTTGCTGTTTGTCGTATTCAGTATAGAACTTCACGTATCGTCTTTTGTTGTTTTCTTCGTGGTTGCTTTATTCAATAAAGTCATCATGTTCACTCCACGCGCTGCGTATTGGTCCGCTCCTTCAGACGATCGTGACACAACTAGCACAGGACTAATAAATTGCGTAATAGAGAAACTGCAGCGCAAGCGACAAGGACTTCTCCAAGAGCTGAAGTCAGGGTATTATTGGTTCGACTAAGGTTGTTCAATAAGGTATTTCAGAGAAAGGGATAAGACTACATGTGTAGTGGTTGAATTGAAAGAGAGAAAGAATACAATAACTCCATGACTTCAGTGTATGACCAACAACAGGTGAGAAGAGGACAGCACAACTACAGAGTAGCTAAGCCTTGTAAGTAGATAAAATCTATGTTTAACAACCCTGCTCCTGGATGCCAAAATAAAATCTGTCTTAATAAAATATAATGTCACGTCAGTTCACGTCACATACAGTAAGTCATATTGATTCTGCATCTGAAGATGGCTATGTACTGTATTTACCACAGTATTGGAATATTATCCTAAACCAGGGGTGTTCTTCCATTTTGGTGGGCAACTTTAACATGTCTGATTAACTACACAAATAGTTTTTCAGTGACAGCCATGATTATTGGATAATTTGAATCAGTGATCAGTGCAGTAATCGAACAAAAGCCTGCGGGCTGCTGTCTCACTGCAGCCCTTCAGGATTAGGTTTGGACACCACTGCCCTGCCATAAACTAGACCAGGTCTGTTGTGGTGTTTTTAAGAACAGTTTGTTTGCCTTGTATATATTCCCATACGCAATATTGGTTTTCTGGATGCCAATCTATACTGAACAAAAATATAAACGCAACATGCAACAACTTCAAAGATTTTACTGAGTTACAATTCATATAAGGAAATCAGTCAATTGAAATAAATTCATTAAAACAAATCAATTCAATTCAAAATCAAATCAAATTGTATTTGTCACATGCGCCAAATACAACAGGTGTAGACATTACCGTGAAATGCTTACTTAAAAGCCCTTAACCTCTTAAGGATCGGACACTTTTATTCAATTTTCGCCTAAAATGACATACCCAAATCTAACTGCCTGTAGCTCAGGACCTGAAGCAAGGATATGCACCCATTTGAAAGGAAACACTTTGAAGTTTGTGGAAATGTGAAACGAATGTAGGAAAATATAATACATTAGATCTGGTAAAAGATAATACAAACAAAAAATCATGAATTTTCTATAATTTTTTTAGTTCCATCATCTTTGGAATGCAAGAGAAAGGCCACAATATAATGTTGACGTTTAGGCACAGTTTAGATGTTGGCCACTAGATGGCAGCAGTGTGTGTGCAAAGTTTCAGATTGATCCAGTGAAGCATTGCAATACTGGACTATTTTGTATCAAGTCTGCCCAAATGTGCCGAATTGGTCAATTGATACATTTTCAAGTACATAACTATAGAGAACATACAAATATGATATGGTAATACAAAATGTAAGTTTACACACTCCTAGGAATGTCATACATGATGGATCATTAGCTTATACACTAACTTTCACACATCTAGATGAAACTGTTTCTTTGTTTATTTTTAAATTTTATTTACCCCTTTTTCTCCCCTATTTCGTGATATCCACTTACAGTCTTGTCCCATTGCTGCAACTCCCGTATGGGCTCGGGAGAGGCGAAGGTCGAAAGCCATGCGTCCTCCAAAACACGACCCTGCCAAGCCGCACTGCTTCTTGACACACTGCTCGCTTAATCCAGAAGCCAGCCACACCAATGTGTCGGAGGAAACACCGTACAACTGCCGACCTAAGTCAGCGTGCATGCAGCTGGCCCACCACAACCCGGACGACGCTGGGACAATTGTGCACCGCATCATGGGTCTCCCGGTCGTGGCCGGCTGCGACACAGCCTGGGATCGAACCCGGGTCTGTAGTGACACCTCAAGCACTGCGATGCAGTGCCTTAGACCGCTGGGGGTATTTGCTGTTACTGAGCCTATTGGAACTAGACTTGGCGCTCCGGTACTGCTTGCCATGCGGTAGCAGAGAGAACAGTCTATGACTTGGGTGACTGGAGTCTTTGACACATTTTTGGGTCTTCCTCTGACACTGCCTAGTATATATGTCCTGGATGGCAGGAAGCTTGGCCCCAGTGATGTACGGGGCCCTACGCGCTACCCTCTGTAGCGCCTTACGGTCGGATGCCGAGCAGTTGCCATACCAGGCGGTGATGCAACCGGTCAGGATGCTCTCAATACTGCAGCTGTAGAACTTTTTGATGATCTGGGGACCCATGCCAAATATTATCTCCTGAGGGGGATAATACATTGTCGTGCCCTCTTCACGACTGTCTAGCTGTGTTTGGATCATGATATTTGGTTGTTGATGTGGACATCAAGGAACTTAAAACTCTCGACCCGCTCCACTACAGCCCCGTCGATGTGAATGGCCCTCCTTTTCCTGTAGTCCACGATCAGCTCCTTTGTCTTGCTCACGTTGAGGGAGAGGTTGTTGTCCTGGCACCACACTGGCATGTCTCTGACCTCCTCCCTATAGACTGTCTCATCATTGTTGGTGATCAAGCCTACCACTGTTGTATCATCAGCAAACTTAATGATGGTGTTGGAGTCGTGCTTGGCCACGCAGTCATGGGTGAACAGGGAGTACAGGATGGCACTAAGTACGCACCCCTGAGGAGCCCCCGTGTTGAGGATCAGCGTCGCAGATGTGTTGTTGCCTACCTGTTGCCTACCCTTACCACCTGGGAGCGGCCCATCAGGAAGTCCAGGATCCAGTTGCCGAGGGAGGTGTTTAGTCCGAGGGTCCTTAGCTTAGTGATGAGCTTTGTGGACACTATGGTGTTGAACGCTGAGCTGTAGTCAATGAATAGCATTCTCACATACAGTACCAGTCAAAAGTTTGGACACGCCTACTCATTCAAGGATTTATCTTTATTTTTACTATTTCTACATTGTAGAATAATAGTGAAGACATCAAAACTATGAAATAACACATATGGAATCATGTAG